GGAACAGTGCTACCCACATTGAAGTGGGGCTTTTCTTTTCAGTTAAACTTTTTTGAAAGCACTGTGGACACATACCCTGGGATATGTTGCCCATGGGAATTCTTTCTGCTTTACTCTGACTCCATTTTCCTTATCTTAAATCATATACCAACCTTCCAGTTTTCACCCTGGACTCTTTGTAATGAACACATGTGGTGATATTTTATTTGTACTGAAATGTTATTTTAATTTTATGTTAATAAATAAAGTTGCCCTGGGGTCAGAGCTATTAGAGCCATAGTAAGAGCGTGGTGGTTAGAAGAGCTAGGTAGATTTCTGTGTGTTCAGGGATACAGCCAGTATTGGAGACATACGCCTTTAAGACCTGGAGGGCGGTACTTACAGGCAGTGATGAGGCAGTCATGTGGTTGGGTTTACAACCAATGAGAAGGCAGAACAGAAAGATTATTTAAACAGGGACACAGGAAGTACCTCCCTCTCTCGGGGAAGCTAGGAGCACTGCAGGAGGTAAGATTTTATCTCTGAGCTCTGACCTCTCGGCTTTTCTCTTTTACCTTGGCTCTGTGTTTCTTATTTTAATAATACGATTGGTTACATCTACAAACACAGAAGCTCTAGAATGCCCCTTCTGAAAGGGATATATTTGATCATATTATTCCTGCTAAAAACCAACCAATGGCTTATTCATTATGACTAAAGGACAATGTTGAAGTTAAAAGGATAGGTTCTGATGGTAATCTTGACTGTCAACATGACTGGATTGAGAGAGCACTGTGAGATTTGTAGGGTACTCTTTGGGTTTACCTCTAGAGGCATTTCCAAAGCACTAGTGAGGTGAAAAAGACCTCCCCTGAATGTAGACAGGACAAACCAGGAGGCTGTGGCCTTGGAAGGAAGAAAAGGAAAAAATGAGAAGGCCTGTTAGTAGATGCATTTTCTCCCCCCTTCATGGCCATCTTACGAATTTCTCTGTTCTACTCTCCACCAGGATAAACCTTTGGGACTCTGAGCCAAAATAAGTCCTTTTTCTCTTATTTTTTTTATAGACATCTTATTATACCATCAAGAATCTGACTGACACATCAACTAAGGAGTCTGGGGTACTCCACATTTTATTTTATATTATCTGAGTAACATGGACAAGGTAATTTTTAAGGATAAAGGTTTATTTAGGCTACAGTATGAGAAGTCCAAGGTTAAAGAGCTACATTAGGTGAATTCTTCTTTAGATCTTCAGTGTGGAACAGGTCATCACATGGTGAGACAGAACAAAATCTCATAGAACTTTCATTTTTCTCTAAAGATCGCTGCTAAATATCACAACCACATTAGGTTACAACTCTCTTTTTTAAAGATATGTTTATTTTTACTTTGTGTGTATGAGTGTTTGCCTAAGTGTATGTAATATATATATAATATAGTGTCACTTGAGGCCAGAAGAAAACGAACAGAACCAGGGTCCTCTGTAAGAGCAGCAAGTGCTCTTAACTGCTGAGATATCTCTCTAGCCCTACAACCCTCTTAATGTCTCACAGTGAAGACTAAATTTTAAATTGAGCCTCACAGGAGGCAAACAGTGGCAGAGTCTTTGATCTGGCCTCTCCCTTCTTTCTAGCTTCATTTCAATTAGTTTTCCCCAATGTCCCCAATGTCAGATTCCCTCACACTGATATCCCCAATGTCAGGTTCCCTCACACTGAACTCGGGTCATTTCCTTCAACATTCTATTTTCTTTTTGGCATCTGGTCTTTATCAACGACTATGTCCTCTCTCTAAGATGTTCTTTCTTTCAGAGGGTACACTTGACTGTTTCCTCACTTTCTGAGAATAAGCATCTCTGTCAGGAAAACTTCCCTATCTTCTCTTGGTAGGGCTGAATCTATTCCTGTGATACAGGTCAGCCATGGAACCATCTTACAGAAATAGCTCTCTGTCATGTCTCCCCTCCCCCTCATGCTGTACATCTAGATAGGGCACATGGCTTATGCTTCTTTTGTATCTATATTCTGTACAACATTGGTCTGGGAACATAGTAATTGGGTTCTCAAAGTATTTGTTGAACGTATTATTTACTTTTTGTCTTGACTACAACCAAATACCTGACATGAAGCCACTTATTGAAAGAAAGGCTTATTTTGGCTCATAGGTTGGGTGTGCCATCCATCATAGTGAAGATGTAGAGGTACAAGCAGCTGGGATAGTAGGGACATGCATCTGCTTGGCCACATCTTATTGGATTAGGAAATAGAGGGGGAGAGAGAGAAATAGGGAGAGAGAGAGAGAGAGAGAGAGAGAGAGAGAGAGAGAGAGAGAGAGGCTGAAAAGATGATATCCAGCTTTTGTTTTCTCTTCTTCCTATTGCATTCAGTCTAGGATTCCAGTCCATGGGCTGGTGCTGCCCACGTTCAGGACTGAGTCTTCCTGTTCAGTTAATCTTCTCTGGAAACTTCCTCAGACACATGAAGGTGTGCCTCACTACTGCCCACTATGTTTCTTAATCGAATCAAGTTGACGGTCAAAATTAGCCATCACACTGACTGAGGTAATCGGTTAATAAAATGAATACACAGATGGTTATATTTCATGTCTCTGTGCTGTTTCACTCTAAGTATGCCCTAACACGCTTGTCTATGGCATTTTTCATACTTACTAGACAACTAAACTGCTTTTTATCATTTAACTCTAACTAGAAAAATCTTTCCATTTGTGGAAAGAAGTTCCAGGGAGACAAGAGTGACATGGACAAAATGAAAGACAATTAAATTTTATAACCCACAACTTCAGTTCCCCCGTCTTCATTTCCCTAATATGTCATGTCTGAAAACCTGTGTTGATGTGTCCTTCCCATCCCTAGCACAAAACTGAAACTTGGCAACAGTAGAGAGATCTTCACTTTCCATGTCCACTCTCCTTCCTATATTGATTTCTTCATACCCTGTAGATGGAGATTCTGTCTGCCTGTTCAAGCTCCGCTTATCCCTGTCATTTAAATTTATTTGGGGATTCAGACTTATTTCAAAATTAGTCCAATGAAATGATGATCAGCTTGATGTGAGAGACATAGCTTTCTGTCTCTTGGTCTATAGCAACTTCCAGAAGGCTCACTAAGAAAGGAATTGAATTGGATTTAGCTGAGGTTTGCTTGAGTTCCAGTTAGAGTTCTTTTATGCCATTTCTGCTGTATCAACTGACAGTGTAATTTAAAGTAGTAATGCAAGAAACTAAGCAACATCCTTTTCTGTCTTTCCTCTCCAGATATCTTTTTTTTTTTTTTTTTTTGGTTTTTCGAGACAGGGTTTCTCTGTGTAGCTTTGAGCCTTTCCTGGAGCTCACTTGGTAGCCCAGGCTGGCCTCAAACTCACAGAGATCTGCCTGGCTCTGCCTCCCAAGTACTGGGATTAAAGGCATGCGCCACCAACACCCAGCCTCTCCAAATATCTTGTCCAGTTAAGACAATTTATTATAGGGACCCTTGTCAGAATGGGAATCAGAGAACAGAGGAGCCGATTCTTAACTCTTAAACATTAATAACGTATAAACATGTTAAGTACTAAAATCTTGGGGCAACAAATAAGATGAAGATTTAGAATTGCTGGTCTTCTCCCACTAACCCCAGAAACAAGAACAAGAAAGCAAAATTAGAAGTCTTGAGATTAGATATTCCTCTATGGCAGGGCAGGCCCTGACTGTCCGTCTCTTAGTTAGCTCGTGGGGAAGAGGAGCACTAAACCTCCCAAAATAGTATACCAAAGATATTTTCTCCTTCCTCTCACAGAAACTAGTGCACAACTGAGTAGAAAGAGAGACTCAGGATCATTCTGTGGGTGGGTGGCACCTAGTGTGTGAGCAGGGTCTCTGAGAAACTGTAGATGTAACCAACCATCTTATTAAAATAAGAAACACAGAACCAATGTAAAAGAGAAAGCCGAGAGGTCAGAGCTCAGAGCTAAAATCTTACCTCTTGCAGTGCACCTAGCTTTCCCGAAAGAGAGCTACTTCCTGTGTGTCTGTCTTTAAATAGTCTTTCTGTTCTGCCTTCTCATTGGTTGTAAACCCAAACACATGATGGCCTCATCACTGCCTGTATGTACAGCCCTCTAGATCTTAAAGGCATATGTCTCCAATGCTGGCTGTATCCCTGAACACACAGAAATCTACCTAGCTCTTCTACCAAGTGCTGGGATTAAAGGCGTGCACCGCCGCCACCACCACCACGCTCTTGCTATGGCTCTAATAGCTCTGACCCCAGGGCAACTTTATTAACATACAATTAAAATCACATTTCAGTACAAATAAAATACCACCATAAGAAACAGAAGTGAATCTCAGTTCAGAGCAGCCTCATGAACCCCTGGCTTTTCATAGGTACATCAGGAGAACAGCCAGGGGTCAGGAAGTCCAGTGAGTTGGACACAGGACTAAAAATAAGTCACAAAGTAGAAGATGTGTCCTTAACTTACTTCCAAGAGGCTAATGAGGTACAGATCTTTGAAGAACTCTATTGACAATATGCATGCTATTTAGAATACCATATAGAAGGATTTCCAAATAATACCTGCTACAGCAGGATGGAGAGGATGCCAGACACCCTATGACCAAAGCAGGACTGAACTTCATGCATTTTTCACACTTCCACCCAACCCCCACCCCACCCCCATTTCCCCAAAACCAACTTAGTTCTAGAATTACAGTTTAGCTTCAATATTAGGGAAGAGAAGAGTAAATGGGTAATGGTCTTCACTAGGTCTGAAAATAAATAAAGATAAGCCTAAATAAAAACCAACCCACAAAATAATAATAAACCCCAAAAGTCTAAATTTACTTTATAATACAGAGATTTTATATTCCACCAAGGAAGAGAAAATAATACAGAAACGTCAAAATTATTTTAGCTGCTAGAACGTATTGTTGCTCTATTGCATAGCAAAACACATGACTAACTCATGCTTTCATAGGTGAGTCAAGGCTTGGTCATGATATAGTGTGTTCTATGATTTCAGCCTTCCCTTTCTCTACAATGAAATATCTCAGTGATGCACATGTAAGTCTAAATTTCTTTCCTTTATCTCATTATGCTTTCTGTCCTGTTTAGTTCATTGCCCAATGGTGTATTCATTTACATGGTGTGTTGTTTATAATTTCCTCACTCACTTGGGTAAAGCTTTCACCATTTAATTTTAAAATAAGAAATGGCCTCTTTGTATCTATTTTTCTCTAATTCTGAAGTTACTTCTAAACAAATACTGAAAGAAGATATCAATGATTTGATTCTAGGCCTCTGCTTAACACTCCACAGTGTCTGCAAAGTTTAGTTCAAATTCCTCATTTTGGACACTGAGGTCACCCAAAGGGAGGCAGAAGAGAAAGGGAGGAAGAGAGGCCACCAAAGTCTCAACTACTCAGAATGCATGCTTTGGATCCAGAGACCTCTTGTGGGAATTTATATTCACTAACTATTAAGTTTCAAATTCATCTCTAAGTAGGTTAAACTGGTAATTTGTAAAATGAGTGATGGTGGTCGTAGAAGTGTCCTATTTTAAGGGAATCCTCAGTAGACACCCATGTACAGCAGAAATAGATGTCTAGAGTAAAGCTCCTAATGCCATTCATCTGATGGCCATTGGTCTTGTTGAGTGCTCAGGAAATAAGAAGCTATGAGCACACAGAGACTCCATTATGATTCCATAGTGTAACTTCAGGGCCTTTCTCCCAATGGTCACCTTATATTTCTTTATACTTTTGCTTTTGACTTTGCCAAGACTGTCCAGTAACATAGAATACAATTTTTGAGTTTGACCCCATGACTTTTTAAAAATATCTTTTTTCTTTAACCATTTCATCTATGTATTTTGATTATCCTCACTCTCACTCTATCTGATCCCTTTTTATCCCTGTCAATACTGCCTTCTCCCTACAAGTCCCTTTCCAGTTCATTCTGTTCTGTTGCCCACAGAGTTTAACTGGGCCATCTGTGTAACCATAGGTTGGGAGCTATCCACTGTGTCTTGATGGACTCACCTCTGAGTACACAACTAAGCACAATGACCCTCACTCTCCCAGAATCTTTAAGATTATTTTCTTCAGAAATTTGTCAATATTTGAATATTCATCAAAAAGATGCCTATTTGAATGGATTCCATAAAACTAATTAATTCTTGATTCACATAGCTAAGCAAATTCTATTTCATGTGTACTTCAAATTATTTTCAACTGATCATTTGGTTACCTTTAAATAATATAAATGAGGATTCTGGCTTTTCTATTTGTTTTGCAATAACAAACATTTATTATCATTTTGGAAATCACAGATTTTTTTGTCATTACCACTTCTACTGTGGCCAATTTTCCTAGGTTGAATCCCCATTCTAAATTTTGTCAATATGTGCCTTATCATTTGGATTTATCAGCTCTAGGCATTTAGCTTTTTATCAATTCTGATTGTTGTCATCACTTGTACTACAAATAATTTTAAGTATCAGAGAAAATATAGGACTATTTTATAGCTAGTACACAAAGAATAAATAAAACAACTTTTAGAAAATGTGTAGAGATAGAAGGAAAGACAGAAGAGCAAGAAAGAACCAAAGAGACAGATGGGGGGGGGGAAGGGCCAAGTAAGGAGAGACAGAGTTCTATACTCACAAAAATGCTTCAAAAGGACCTAACAAGATTTGCATGCAAGAATCCTAGATATATCTGCTTTAGATAGAGGATACACACAGACACCTGGTTTTGGCTAAACTGAAGGTTTTTGCTTTGTGTATATCCTGTATCAGACTCATTGTTAACCCAAACTATACATTAGTTGGCACTGTCCAATAAAAGCCTTAAGAAGATGGATTGTAGAGGAAAAGAGACACCACAGTTGCATTTACTGGTGGACCCCTTTCTTTCATTTGAGAATTTAAAGCAATTTAGATATCAAACACTTGAATCAAATTGGCTGGTAGAAGCACCTGTTTCAAAACAATTCATTGAAACAATTCATTATCACCAATGGATTCCTATGGTGATATTTTATTTGTACTGAAATGTGATTTTATTTGTATGTTAATAAATAAAGTTGCCCGGAGGTCAGAGCTAATAGCAAGCCATAGCAGAGCTGGGCATTCATGGTGCATGCCTTTAATCCCAGCACTTGTTAGGCAGAGCTAGGTAGATCTCTGTGTGGTCAAGGATACAGCCAACATTGGAGACACACACCTTTAATCTCAATACCATAGAAGACCTGGAGGGCTGTACAACAGACAGTGACGAGGCAGTCATGTGGTTGGTTTTACAACCAATGAGAAGGCAGAACAGAAAGTCTATATAAAGACAAACAGACAGGAAGTAGCTCTCGGAGAGGTCTCTTGGCTTAAGAGGCTAGCTGCAGCAGGAGGGTAAGGCTCTTAGCTCTGATCTCTTGGCTTTCTTCTTTGCACTGGTTCTGTGTTTCTTATTTAATAAGACAGTTGGTTACATCTACAGATTCCCCTTGACCTTAAGAATAATCAATACTATTTTAGGCAAATCTGGAAAAATATGTAGGTTAGTTATAGGAAGAGATGAAATACTAGCACATTTTTTTATCAATCCCTTTCCTACACAAATTTTTCATATGATTTTTTTCTTTTTGCATTTTTTCCAAACTTGAAACATTATTTTGACAAGCTTTTAAATCTGACTTTTAAAATTTGCATTTTTTCCTGAGTATTTGTCATCCTGGGATATACTTTTGAAACAAATTTTAATTAAAATCAGGTTTTGTAAGACAAATAGATTATAACTTGTTAATAGTTATGTTATTTTAGAAGTTTTCTTGATATCTGTACATTGCTTAGAACTGCTGTAGTAGACAAATAGCAAGATGATCAAGAACATGACCTGGGTGGCTCTGAAGGCAGAACAAGAATTGACAGAGGAAGTTTGGGGCAAGTAGACTTGAACTCATCCTGAGAAAAGCCATCCTGAAGTCAACAAGTGACCCCTCTGAATGGGAACAGTCTCAAGGTTGTTAAAGGCATCTGTGGGGACAAATGCCAGAGTGTGGAGTTTAAAAGGAAGGGCTCTAGAGACAGGGCCGGGATTTACCCCAAGCTTAGCCATTTTCTGGTTGTGTGGGCTGACACAAATGCTAGAACAACCTCTCTGTGCTTCCACATCTTCTATTAAGTGGGATGTGTTTCTTGTAGTAGTAGGTTAGCAAGCCTGTCTGGTGGCACCACTGGACTAAGCATCTATTAACCAGAAAAGTGTTGGTTAAAGGGTTGATTTAGGCTGCACCATTGCATAGCAGCTCTCACATTTGGGCTTTAAGCTGACCCTACACGTGACAGTGTACTGGCACGGTGACGTCGCTCCAAAGGACCCCACTGGCATTTGCCAGGGTACACGCTGGCCTGTTTGTTTCCAGATTTGTGCCTTCTTATTTACCTTTTTTATGAGCAAAGCCAACTTTAGTGCTGTCACTTTGCAAGCCGTGACGGGGGGCCAACCGTAGCTGTGTGGCTTATCCACCCTGGGATCAAATAGATGCCTTGTAAAAGGAGTGTTGCAATCTCGAAATGCCCATAAATAAGGATTCGAACATTATCTCCCATCATGTGATGTGGTAAGGGTAAATACAGAGTCTTTCGGTGGAAGAGTCAGAGTGATGACTGAGAGAAATAAAATACAACGGGGGTGGGGGTTTAGACTGAAAATGCGTGTTCACTGTGAATCGCTGGGGCAAAGAGGGGTTGGCATAACGAATCAGAATTCTGCATGGCAGGCAAGGCCACTTTACATGGACAGGAGCTGTTAGATGCTCTCAGCTGAATGTCAGTGCCTCTATCTGGTACTAAATGCTTCTTCCATGTATGTGTCACACCATGAAATCTCATTTCTGCTCCTCAAAGCCCCCTCCCTTGAGCACTCAAAAGGATATATTAATCAAGGAGTCGTCTGATGTTTGCAAAACCTGAGCTTGATTGTAAACAAGATCGAAGTTTTAGAGGGAATCTATGAATGTCATGGAATGTGATGGACTATCAGGTAAGGAGGCATCTGCAAGTTTGGGACAAGGTAGGAATTGAGTGAGAATGGATGTTCATAGAAGGACTGAAAGCAGGAGACTCTCATTGGGTGTTGTTGATAAAGTGGATAGGATAAGTGGATTTGAAGAGCTGTTTTCTTAGTTGTCTATAAACATAAAGAAGAAGCAGAGGACTATGGGTTATTCATGAATCTTCCCAAGAAGAGAAAGGTAAAACCTATGAAGGTTGTATGTTTATTGTTGCTATTCCTGCTAGCCCCAGATTTCCAGTTTCCTGAGACCAGGTAGTTGAAACTAGACTTGACAACTGCAATCATCCTTTCCACTTCTTATTGAAGCAAAGCATGATGGATTCTAGTTAACTTCCCTCCCAGCCTCAGAAACAATTAGGGAGACATCTGATAGATACTTTGAATCTTTCAAGGTAACTCTAAAAACTTCATCCCCTTAGAGGATGCTGGAAACAAATTTCAGAATAGACAGAGAAAGCTTCTAAATGCATTGTGGGTAAGAGTATCACTTTTTGGCTGTAGCACTGGTATCAATTTCTCTTTCTCAAATCAACAGACACTTTCTCTTACTATTCTCAGACTGCTGGCTTTCAGGTGAGTTTGTATGAAAAACAAAAGCCACAATCTTTCATTCAGTGCTTTCAAGTTTTACATCTCTCATCTGAGTAGGCTGGAAAGACCATGGACACAGGGTGAATCTAGATACCACTACTACTTAGCACTGTTACTTGAGCATGCTACTTCACCACTCTGTGGCAGTGACTCATTTGAAAAATGGGAGTGCTAGCCATCTTGTTATTGCTGTGGAAGTTACCAACAGTGCACCTAAGATTCTAGAAACTCGCCATGCTCAGAAGAGGTAGCTATTATCACAGTTCCTAGTTCCCCTGTGGCCCTCTAGGATGGCTGCTGGTATCTCTCAATCTTGGTACTAAAGTTCCCATCATTTACATTGCTTTTGCCACCAATCAAAGATTTCCTAGATCTCAGAATAGTTTCCCCAGCATTTGTAGCTTCTCCTACATCTTTTAAAAAGGCTATTTGAAATTCTGGCTATTCCTATCCTATAACACAAGTACATAAAATGAGTTGCCAGGAAGCTTACTCTAAGGTAGCCACAGGATAGACATTTGAGAAGACTTGAGGTGAGATTTTGTTTGGAAAAAGAAGCATTATGGAGCTTTTAAAGTTAGAAATGAAAATATGCAAAACCAACTTGTCAAGTTGCATTATGCATTCCAGGACATGGTCGAAGGTTGTATGATGCTGGAACATAGGACATTTTCAGAAGGTATTTTCCTAACAATATTAGAAGAATCATTAAAGAGATATCAAGGAAGTCCTTGAATGTCAAAATAATAAGATGGGGTCTAACAAGTACCAAACAGTTGGCCAGTGAGTTTTGAACTTACATTTAAGGGGGACACCGCTTTAAAGTCAAGACAGTGAATACTGGGAAAGAAGGATGCCATTTGCTGTGGCAGTTTAATTAGAGCTATTAAACCGAGTTAAGTATCTGCTCTGTGCTCTGTTCTACTTTTCAATCACTATGTATCGAATACCAGCTGGGAACATGATACTGAGCACGTTCCAAGCTAAATTCTCAGTTTTCATAGCTGATTCTTGGAGAAAAGTTAGAGGACATAATTGACTGAGGCTTAGACTATGTCGTCTCCTTATTGGAAATAAAATGAACATGGGTGTTCTGTGAGGGTGGACAGGTGTTGGAGAAGCTTCTGGAAGGGGAAAAGTACATGTTTCAAATTGATGACCTGAAGGAGCCTGGAGGAAGACAGCTAGCAAGAGCCAGTGTGAACACAGTTCAGTATTTGCATGTGGGTGACAAGGGAAGAGACAAATAGAGGTGGACTGGGGAATCTTGGTAAGACAGGTGGATTATGTCAATGTCAACGCCCTGGTTTTAATATTATTATGGTTTTCAAGAACGCTTTTTAAGGAAATGTATAAAGAACATATTATTAGTTTCCCACTCTTATGTAAAATATTTGATGTAATCAATTTCTAAAAGAAGAAGATTATATTGGCTCAGCATTTCAGGAATTGTGTGACAAATCATCTCGATGTGGACCTGTGGCAAGGCAGCGTGGTGAAGCGTAGAGTACACTGTGCAGGAAAACTCTCACCGCATAGCCTGGAAGAGCAAACAGAAGAAAGGGAAGAGTCTCAGGCCTCACAATCATCTTTGAAGATTATCTTCAGGGAATTAAAGATCCCCGACAAGGTCACTTCTCAGTAAGGTTCCACCACCTAGCATATTTGGGGGGCTATCCAAAAATCAAACTTAAAACAGAATGCATGAGATGTACATATTATTTCTTACAGTTACTTGTATGTGACTCTATAATGTAATCCAAAAATAACTTTTAGTTGTTAAAATGGTTCATGGTTGGCCAATGCTAAGATGCCAGCTTTTGAATATGCTTTCTTCTAGGGTGGAACTTGAAGTCATATTAAAGTCACATCCCTTTGAGGCTAGGGTTTTAGCTGTGATTTAGGTTTATCTGACCCCCGCCCCCCAGAAGAGTGAGAAGTGAAATGAATGAGAATCATCACATGGGCACATGGTCATGTGCTCACACCTCCAGCTCCCTCCCTGGTTTGAGCTCTCTCTCCTCCCAGAGTCCAGTCACTTCTCTCTTGAATTTCCAGGTCTAGCTTGTGGATATCAATGCATGGTGTAGTTCTGGTTAAAGAAATCTGAAGGAAGTTTACTGTACCTATAGAGTCATGTTCCTGAAGGAATTTTCTAGGTTTGCATTTTTCATGCCATGGGAGCTGTAACAGACCCTAATATGATGATTGAATATATATATCCATGGCATCATTCATGAATGCCTGGGCAAGGGCTTTTCAGAGTCAGGCTAAGCACATTATTTCCCACATTGCATCAGTTTTGGTTAGAAAAGCTTCAGTGAGTTTTCATTTGTTTGTTTTTTATCTGCAACTAGCCTTGATACTCTGTGACTACATAGGCCCATTTATTCTGCAAGTGAATTCCTGCTCAAGTGGGATACCTTGTGCAGAAGGTCTGTATATGGCCAGGCACCATGAGCCAAAGACGGAATAAACAGTAGTGTCTCAGATACTTGGGCCCTTCTAGAGATATTTTTTCTGAAAATAGAATAGGAAACCATGAAGAGACATTGATGTCTAGATCAGAGGAAATTTGAGCTTTTCGCTGGTACAGAGATGAGGCCACTGCTGATAGCACAATTTGGAAGTCTCGAGGAGACTTAAAAAAAAACAAAACCCTGTGTTGCTTCAGATTTCTAATGCATGTAAATGTCTTGGTATTTTAATAGAGACTCACTCTTCATGAAAATCTTGGTGAGATTGTGTTGTACATGCCATACAAAATTAAAAGCAGGTGAGAGGTTTTTAAGTTCCTATCCCATTTCCCCAATCTCATGATATTCCTTCTCCATGCCTCAGAATTTCTGGAAACTCCCTTCACAGTAAATAGAACTAAATGGACATGTCCTGGGAGCCAAGGAGAATGGACCAACTGGAAGCTGACCCATGTGAGTAGGTGCTCCCATGCCGGGTGCAATTGGGCTGTGCAGCACTCCTTTTGGAAGGAAAGGCTAGAGAAGTTTTGCCCTGAGGCAGGACCATTCTCTGTGGCCTGAGCCACCCCATGTCTCCCTCCTTTTCCCTTTCTCCCCACCCACCTTTCATCGTCCTCAGAAGCCCATGTGTGTGAAGAACAACAGAGGAATGTGGGTGGGTTGGCTTGTATAATTAAATCCATGTTGCATCGTGTTCTTTAGAATTAATAAGGAATCCATCCCATTGAAACTCACCATGACATCTTCCCTCTGACTCAGATTTCTTTTTGCTTTTCTCTTCTTTCCTCAGCTAAAAGCATTAGACATGGGGCTATGGTTCAAATTAGCATCCTACATTTCTCCTCTCTCTCTCTCTCTCTCCCTTTTCTCCCTTTAATTGAACTTTTCTGTTCAGTTAAAAAAAAGCATAGTTTATTTATATTTCATTTTCTTCTAGCCCATTTATCCACCATTGTCTTTTTTTGTTGTTCTTTGTTTCTTTCTCCTGGATTTCAGAGGAGAAAACAAGACAGCTCTTCATCTTGTTTGTGACCAACAAATTGGAGAACATGTTATACTGGCCAAACACTGACAATCGGCTATTTTCCTTTGGGAGATTTCATTTCCTAGAGCATCGTCTCTTGATGCCATAAAAACCATTCCCAAGCATGCATATCTCTGCTGGTACAGCGATGTATATGTGACCTTGAAACAGAAAGGAGAAAAGAGAGCAAGCAAATGGCACTTCTACGATTCTGGGTCATCTTGCAAAACACCTTTTTTATTGGGAGTAATAATTTGACTTCATTCCCCAATAAAAGTAGATTTATGTGATGGATACATGATATGCATTTTTTTCTGCCACTGTTCTCTTTAGGACAGTAGTTGTATGACTTAGGATTAGATGGAACTGTGAGTAACATTAGCCTGAAATAAGAGCAGCTTAAAACTGATAACAAGATTTTGCTCATTCATGGCGAGTTCTTGGGTATGGTGGCTCCATTCATGAAGTTTGTTTTGGCATCCAAGGATTTCTACAGCTCAAGGTGTGGTTCTCAATTTCATGGTCCAAGGCAGTGATTGTCATGACACCTTCAAAGTAATCTCATAAACTGTCCAAAGAGTCCTTCTGCTTCCTTCATGAGCTCCTGACTTTTGACCACAGGCAGGCATTAAGTACTTTAAGTGAAGGTTCACTTGAGATGTGGGACTGTGGATTGAGACAGGCACAGGTTCAAGTCTGATCTCCCCTGACTCTAGAGCTGGCGGATTTGAAGGTGACATCCTGGGGTTTGCACTTTTCTCATTTGTAAACATGAAATGTGAAAAACTAAACTTATAAAAATAAAAATCATTCTGACTCAGAGCAGAATAATGATAAAACATTATATCATGTATAAAAGAAATGGCCCGCTGATTAGCATCATACCACATACCATCTTGCAGAGCATTCAGTTTCCTGCTGAGTGTTTTCTCTTCTTCAAGGAAAATCAAGCCATGTTTGGGAGCTGGAGGTTACATCTCCCAGTGAGTACTTCCTCACTGGTGCTGTGTGCTTCTCATAAGTGTGTCTCTCAATTCGAAAGAAACTCACTGGAGACAGCAGCCACGGTGACTGTTCCACCTCCTGTGAAATGGGTGTTATTCCGTAGCTGCAGTTTCTATTTATGGGGAATGGGGGGCGGGTGCTGACAAATAGCCACTTCTTTTGCCTAATGGGGGATATTTTAATCATTGTTTAAAGAATGTGATCAGTAAGTTGTACAACCCTTTTAGTGGGTTCTAACCAGTGTTTCTTAATGAAAGAATAAAATTAAAAATAGAAGGTAGCATGGGTGAGAAAGAAATGAATGTACTTTTTCGTAGAACATGTTACACACACACACACACACACACACACACACACACACACACACACACTTGTATGTAAATTACAAAGAAAAAAGCATCTTGGGCCACGGAAGGCAACATAGTAGCATTCATATGTGGTAGTGGTTTATGTCTGTGAAACAGACAGAAAGAAGGATCTTTCTGTGCTAAGTGACCAGCCAGCCTAGCCTAATTGGTAAGCCTGGCGTCAGTGAGAGAATTGTTTTCAAAAATCAACATGGATTACTCCTAAGTAATGGTACCCCAAATTAATCACTGGCCTCCACATGTATGCATACATACATGTAAGCACACCTTTATATACATAAATCCCAAATCCATAGGAAGGAAAACTTACCTCTTAAAATAAACCATGAGCTTTGCAAAAAGAGTAATAAAGGGGGAAGAAGAACTGTATTTGATAACAAAGCCTTCTGGTTAGCTACAGTCTTTAATACAAAGTAATATTGGCCGAATGAGAGCAAAATTAAGATACAGAACCTATAAGGAAACTCCCAGAAATATTGCTCCTGGTTTTTAATGAGAGTAGAAAAGCAAGAAAACAAATCAATTGACCTTTCAAAGTCAAATTAGCCTTTTCAAAACCTAGCCCTGCTGAGTGTGGCAGAACACAGCTTAAACCCCATGCTAATGAGGCAGAAACAGGTAGATCTCTAAGAGTTCCAGGCCAGCCTGCTCTACACAGAGAGTTCCAGGCCAGCCAAAAGCTACACAGTGAGGCCCTGTCTCAACAAATAAAATACCAAAAGAGTCTAAGTGGGTAAGCATGTCCTCTTCATTCCAACTGGGAGTAAGAGGCAAGAGAAACTGATCTCTTGCCATCTAATCCTTAGGAAATCTACACAATAGTAGCCATGGAGTTTACACCTTAGTCTCATTGGCTTGGTGTTGTGGGATGTCCTGTATGCTGTGAATATATGTTGCTATGATTGATTGATAAATAAAACGGTGATTGGTCAGTAGCCAGGCAGGAAGGATAGTGTAGGCAGGACAAGGAGAGAAGAGAATGCTGGGTGGAAGAAGGCTGAGTCAGGAGACACTACCAGCCACCAAGATGAGAAGCAGATGTTAAGATACTGGTAAGGCACGAGCCACGTGGCAACCTATAGATTAATAGAAATGGGTTAATTTAAGATAAGAACAGATAGCAAGAAGCCTGCCATGGCCATACAGTTTATAAGTAATATAAGTCTCTATGTGTTTACTTGGGGGACAAGAGTGGGAGAGATTTGTACCGACTGCCAGCAGACTGGGACACAGGAAAACTTCAGCTACAGCTTGGAATTATTTCTATTGCCATGCCAATTGTAAGCTAACCTGAAATATAATGTGAGCAATCACATGTCCATTTTTTCCCCTTATTCTACACAGGTAGAGAACAATAGATATTGCGACATGACTGTTAGCACCAAGTAGTTCTTGAGATTTATCCAGTGACACCATTCAGTCACAGCACTCCATCTTCCCCAGACACTGTGGCCATCTTTCCACATCACATATTTTATCCCCTGATGAGCATCTTCATATATCTCCTGGTACGTACAGAGTAAGACATAAAATCCTTTGTATCATAGTTAGGCTCTTAGACTTAAGCTCAAACCCAGATTTCTGGTCGAATGCTTATGATATATTCGCTGTACTAAGATTCTCCACCCCTCAAATGTTCCTTCCCCAGCTCTTCAGTTACCTGGAAGGCACTTGGCTCCCAACTCACTTCAGGTCTGGCAAAGGATGCATCATTTTGGCAGACCAGAAGAGCTCTCATCTTCTCCTCCCACCCTCCATGCCTTGTTCTGCTTCTTTTGTTTAAGACAGAGTCTCACTGTGGTCCAAGCTTTCTTCAATCCCAGTGTAGTTCCCCTGCCTCAGCCTCTTGAGCGCTGAGCTTACAAGAGTAAGCCACCATGCTCTCATCTTCAGATACCTTTTCTGACCCTCCGAACAAGCATCAGTGGCTATTCCCTTCCCTAAGCTCCATTAAGTATCACCTCAGTTGACATGCACATGATGACACTTCCTTCTGTTGCTATTTTGCTCTGTTGAATTGTTTTGACTTGCTCTTACTGCAGACTGGCATTCTTCTAATTCAAAAACACAACTTTCTTAATTCTACTTGCATAGGTCATGGAATCTGCCCATCACCTTAAACTTGTTTCTTGAATCACTGAGGAATTTCTCAAGAATCGAAGAGCAGAAAGAAGGGGTCTTGGTTTACCACAGGTGTGCTCTGAATGGACAAAGACGTTATTTCACAGGTTTGGTAGTGAAGGAAGGGCTAGTTGATTGAAGAGTTTTAAATACTAAGGTTAAAGGGTTGCTTTTATTGACATTGTGACATTTTTATTTCATTGTAGCAAGCAGGTTGAACTCTAGAAAGATCATAGGTAGTCAGGTTTAGTAGAATTCTTGGTATCTTGACAGCAACATCTGCCAGCTTGATGGCAGGAGACATCTTTTGATTTCAGCTTGCCAAGAACTGTCAAGGACAACTTCACAGATATAATTTCTCAGTAATATATTTGGGAGAATGTCCTCTGTACTCTAAGAAAACAAATGATTTTTATACTTGGAAACTATACCTTCTTATTTTTAAAGAAATTCTGGGTCCTACGCTTCATTCTGAATAGGCATTCTCAAGTATAATCCTAGCCTCACTCTTAACCAGTCTTCACGAGCTTCAGTTTCCCAAGCTATAAACCCTAATTCCCAACACTTCAGTTCACCACATAAGTCTACGTTCTTTTGTGCTTCATCGATTTCCAGTTGGATCTGGATCTGATGATTGGCTTCAACCAATAGACTGTGAGTGAAGTATCAAGATAGGTAAGATAAAATATCTCCTACCTTTCTTGTCACATAAATGATATGATCTAGATGATATTACCAAAAGGAAAAGTGTGTTTCCCCCCCCCTTTTTTTAAAAAAAAAAAGAGAAATATTTTCATTCATTTTACATACCAATCAAAGATCCTCCTCTTCCCTCCTCCCACCCCCCAGTCTCCTCCTCCCAACCCACCCCTCTCTCCCACCCACAAGAATGCAAGGAGGCATGTCCAGTAGAGGCAAGTCAAAGCCCTTCCTCCTGCCTCAAGACTGCACAAGGTGTCCCATCATAGGTAGTTGACTCCAAAAGCCCACTCATGCACCAGAGATGGATTCTGATTCTACTGCCAGGGGGCCTCCCCAGAAGATCAAGCTATACAACTGTCTCACAAGGGATTGTTGAGCTGGAACAGGGAGGGAAGGGGAAAACAATGAAAGGGATAAATGATAGAGATATCATGGGGATAGAGAGAAACCCGGTGCTAGGGAAGTAGCCAGGAATCCCCAAGGATGACCCCAACCTGGACTACTAGAAATAGTGGAGAGGGTGACTGAACTGAACTGGCTTGTTCCAGAGATCAGACCAGTGAATATCCTAACTGCCATCACAGAACTTTTCTCCAATGGCTGATGGAAGCAGATGCAGAGATCCACAGCCAGTCACTAGACAGCTCCAGGAGTCCAGTCAAAGAGAGAGAAGGGGGATTCTATGAGCAAGTGCATCAGGATCATGATGGGGAAACATGCAGGGACGACCAAACCACACTAGAGGGAACTCATAAAAGTTGGATCAATGCCTGTGGAGCCTACATGGAAAAATGTTTTATATATAAGAAAAGTGCAACTCCAGGGCTGAAGCAATGGATCAGCAGTTCCAAGGACTTGTTATTCTTGCAGAGGTCCACATACATTTACATTAAAACCATTAAAGATAGAAAAATTGAATGACTAATGCAATGACCACACAACATGCTCCAAAGGTTAAAGTAACTTACATGTATGCAAACACAAGTACAGAAATGGAAATGGAAATAACCTATGTGATAAAGAGAGGTCCATTGTTTGGTAAAAATAAAACAGCTATATGTAAAGTGTAGATGATATAGCAGAAGTCAGTT